CATTAAGTGGCATATTCCACGAAATAGTCCATTCGTACAACTTGTTTATTTCCTCTTGGATTACCGCTGAAATATAGCTTTCTGTCGTGGGAGAAGAGAATGAATAAACTACTTTCAGGTCATCAGCAAAAAGGAAAGGCTTACCATACTGAAAGAGGGAACACACATCATTGATAAAAAGGAGAAAGAGTAATGGACCAACCACACTTCCTTGTATAACCCCACTGGTTACATTCACAGGTTTAGAGTAGCAAGATCAAAAGCGAACGATTTGGCTATGTTCTTCTAAAAAAGATTTGAGCCAAGATAAAAGGGGATCCTGTTTGCCGAATGAAGAGAGTTTTAAAAGAAGAAGTTTGTGTGAGACACTGTCGAAAGCCTTACTAAAATCGAAGTAAAGAACTATCACTGACTGACCAACATCTCTTCTCTGGGTAATTTGATCAAAAATCTCCAGGTGCGATGTGAAACATGAGCGTTTAGTCATAAACCCGTGTTGGGATGGGCTGATCAGACTAGCCGAAAGTAAAAATGATAGTAGCTGTTTCTGGATGATTTTTTCCATGGTTCTTGAGAGCGCGGATGTCAAATAATTGGCCTATAGTTAACAATATCATTACGTGATCCTGTTTTGAATCTAGGGGTGATAAGGGATGTTTTCCATACAGATGGATAGGTCCCATATTCCATAGATAGACTGAAAAGTTTCAAACAAAATAGTGGAAATTCTCTACTTCCATATTTCACAAATGATGAAGGTATCCCGTCAGGTCCACCATCATAAGACTTTTTCAGGGCAGCTATGGCCTGCTTGATGTTGGAGTGTGTAAAATCAATTTTCGACAGATGTCTGGATGTCAGCATTGGAAATGTAATGATGGAGTTTTCAGTCCCAGTTTTGTAGCACTGCGAGAAGTGCTTGCTGAATTGTTCGCATATAGTATTCGGGTCGTTAACAATGCATCCGTTAACTATGAAGAATTTAGTCGTGCCAAGGGAATTTGACTTTACACGGGATTTAAAAAGTCGAAGTATTGATAATTCTGGGCTTTATTTTCTATATTCATGAAATACTTACGTTTAGATGAAGCATTTCTGTTGATTAAATTAAGTATACTCTGAAGTGCATACACATCATTCTGCTCATAGTAGCGGTATTTTAATTTCCTCAGCTTTCTTTTAAAAGTATTTTGGCCCCTATTAGCATTATAAGCCACACGGCCAATAACTGGAGCAGTGCAATCGAGACATTATATCAGGTTGTGGTATAGATTGGAAAGCGTAATGTCAACATTATTTGTGGTAAAATACGTTTCCCATGGTAAACATTGAATGAGAGTTTCAGTCCGTTTCCATGTTTGTTGATCAAAATGTCTACTCTGGTACGTCATTGAAGCTTTAGAGTTCAATTGTATGGCGTTTAAAGAGTGAATAATACTCAATACAATTCTATGGTCACTCATAAAGAACTCATGACTGGTATGCACTGAGATAGAGTCTATGTTGATTGTGAACAATAAATCAAGTGTATTATTCTCCCTGGTTGATTTTCGGACCTGTTGAACCCATCCGCAAATTTATAATGTTTCAACTAGTTTGTTATATCGACCTGGTACCGGAGTCAAGCCCCATGTAATTTTTGGCAGATTAAAGTCACCGATGATTTTAAAAGTATGCGGTTGGTGCGAAGCAATGGAAAATACGTTTGTTAGTAATCTGTCAAACTTAGTATCCGCATGAGGTGGTCTATATATGCATCCCACCAGTAAATAATTTTGGGATCCACAGTTTACAGTAACCTAAGTGGAGTCGTTTATAGCATCAAGGGATTTATCCTCAAATTTGTACGCTTGAATGTCTGAACGGACATAAATAATTGTACCGCCTCCTATTCCATGACATCTATCGGTTCTAAAGAAAACGTAGTTATCTACATTCAAGGAATGATCGGATATAGATGAATTACACCACGTTTCCGTAATAAGTACAATGGTTGGATTTACAAGGAATAAAAGAGTTTTAAGATGAATAATTTTATTAGACAGAGAGCGGGCATTGAACGAAAGAATAAGAAACTCAGAGTCATCGTAGTGAAGCAGGTTAGAGTATAAATCTCAATTGGCAGTTCCATGAATACTCATAGGATTAGCTAAGGTAAGAGTCGTGTTGCGAGGGGAAATAGATTCAACCACTTTGTCATCATGTGAAATATGTTTGCCGTTGCCGGCAGGAAAGCCGGCGGAATTACAAAAAAAGTTTTCTCATTGCTATTGGATATAACATCTAGAAAAGGTACAACGCAGTGGCTTGAGACATAATCAGAGATGGTTAGGAATCAAAACCAATGGGTATCCTGCCGAAACTTTCACTTTCTTCATTAAAGTGAGGGGAACTTCTTTAACTGAAAGTATCCATTCTTATTGTTTTTTAACTTACCTGCTTCTCCAGTATTTCATCGTTGTCCTACTCTCACACACTAAATTCTGTTCATCTTCGTTCTTTATTATTCTCGTAATCATTATGAAGAACTGAAATTATTTGACATATTAACAACTATTGCACTGAGTATTAATAATTTCAATGTTATGGATACACGTGTCCTACTGAAATATTGAGACTCTCTTTAGCGGCCAAAGTGTGATCTCGCGAACTAACCTGTAGACTATCAGATGGCATCACACCTTTTCGGAGCAGTATCCTCACCCTTCTGTGCAAATTTTGCATTGGCAAAGGCGGCTCGAAAATTGTCTAATGACTACGATGGCGACGTAATAGAATTGGTACGTTAGGTCCGGGTTGAACCGACACATGCTTGTTTATGGCGACTATACGGATGATTGAAGCTGCGTGATCGCTCTTACCTAGGGCTAGCATGTAATCGAGGTTCGCAACATCATCCTAATAATCTGTCAATATGAGATCTAGTAAGGATGATTCGGAGTCCGGGTCGTACCTAATTGTTTCCTTCTTATTTTGCACCATAGTATATGTGATAGTCGCATCAACTAGTTCCTGTTCGAAGAGAGTTTCCGACATTTCAGTACTCAGATATTTCGAGTCTACCGTAGATGCATTAATTTCTCCTAGAACTAAGCACCAACCACTTTGTGACCAAGTTTTGAGACCGCCCAGCAAGACATAATTCACCTCGCAGCTTGGACTGCAGTAGACCAAACCAATCAGCAGGTTTTTCCTTTTGCATTTCAAGAGGCAACTAACTAATTCACATGTTCCACTTTCATGAGACGTGTCATTATCAACGGTAAATGGGGTAGTATTTTCAATGAATAAAGCTACTTCTTAACCTTTACGCTTCTGTACTCTGTTGGCTCCTACTGATGAAAAACCTATAAAATCAAGTCCCATACTGTCTATAGACTGCGTCAATCAAGTTTCTGTGACAGCGATTACACCTGGCATGGTAGATTCAATATGTACATCTAGCTACGACCGCTTATTTTGCAAGTCTCGGGCATTTGTGTAACAGATTGGAAACCCATTAAAATGTCTTCGTGCTGCACCCGGAATGGTTTCAGCATCGTTCTCTGTCGAAGCCTCACCATCAGTAAATCCACAATTTTTAGGTTTTTTTCGCAAGCATGCGGAAAGTCTTTAAGCACAAAAACTCTTGACCACTTTAGTTTATGTCCATTTAGTAGTATAAGGCCCCTTTCATTGAGAGATTTTAACACTATTTTTAGCAGACTGGTTTGGTTTTGTTGCAAGTTCATTTGGCTACCTTTTCCATAGACCCTTAGGAAGATGACTCTGGAGATATCCTGAGGCATTAGCTGGTCAAGTAATTGTTTTACCAAATCAATGGCGTGCTCAAAATGAGTTTTAGGTTCTTGGTTTTAAATTTCTTTCACTCCACGAAGGATAGCTGACCTGTCTCTGTGATCAGCCTTCGATTTTTCAATTACTTTCTGGGGAAAGGCTTTTCATTAGTAAAATTATTTTGTTTATTATTCTCAATCTGTACCAAGTCATCGACTTCCAATGAAGTAGCAATCACAGCCGTGCCACACACTCTATGAAATCCCAGATGATTGTTGATGAATAGGGTGGTCAGGCTATTAATTTTCCTGCCATAAACAGACTGAAGATACCATGGTATTTGGAGTTTGAGAACGCTTTAACCACTGACACCTAATATGAATCGTACCCACCAAGTAAAATAAAAAGACAGAAGAGAGGAGGTTCGAAGATATATTTGATAGGCTATCAATATATCAAGGATCGTCTGATCTAATCTGGAAATCTTAATCTTCTTCCAGAACGCATTGTTTTAAGTTTATTTTCAGATACTGCCGAAGAATCATCGTGCGTGTCGGCCTTCGATATAATGTTGGAAATGCCGTACAGCACGATACATAGCTAGGAGTTCCCTACGGAAAGTGCCGTACCTCGATTCAGTGTATAGCAACCGTCTCGAGAAAAATGCTAAGGGTCGCCAGGAGTGTTTAACTCATCATTTTAAGACTCCTCAGACTGCTGAGTCATATGAATCTACAGCGATGCTAATGGCCGCTCGAGTGTCCTGGTTTGTCAGCATCGTTGCCTTTGCTAGGTGTTCCTTAACTGTGGAGAATGCTTGTCGCGCGGTATTGTCCAAATTGATGGATTTTGCATTTCCACGAATTTGGGCGGTTAGCGGTCTCATAAGGGACGCGCATTCTGTTATGAACCGTCTATAGAAACTTACCAAGACATGACCTAGTCTCACGATAAGGTTTTCTAGGTATTTCCTGCTGGCTGTCATTCGGAGGACAAAACAAGCTTGTTCACTTCTCTAAAAAGCATAAAAATTGAAGCTTCTGAATGCGAGGAGGATAGGGTTAATATTATAGTGCCGTTCTTAACTATTTTCTTTCTAACAAATGAAAACACTCGGTCACAAAACGATACTTAAGAAGACATCACTCGAAGTCAGAAAGGCGAAAGAACAACCTAGAAGACAAGTGCAGAATGCTTTGCAAAAATTCCTTTCAAAGTATGTTCGACACTTAGTCTTGGTGTCTGAAATTATTTTCATTTGGTTGGGTTGACCTATTCTGACATCCAACCTTGACGGTTATTTGAAATTTCGGGGAATGAGTCTTTGGGTTGACAAATATACTCCCACTTCATTGGGGAAGTTGGATTACCACAAAAGACAAGCCAAAAATTTGAAAAAATTAGTAAGTGACGATTACTTCAGTGACGTAAATCTCAATTTTAGGTTGATAGTAACAACTTTCCTCACTTGCTAGTGTATGGACCTTCTGGTGCAGGGAAGCGAACTAGAATCATGTGTATTCTTCGTGAACTGTATGGATCAGGCGTTGATCGACTAAGAATGGAACACCATACTTTCACAAATCCTTCAAACAAGAAAGTCAGCTTATCCACAGTTTCGAGTAACTTTCATTTGGAAGTAAATCCTAGGTACTTTTATGTAAAGACCTTACTGTGTTTAATTTTTGATAAACTGAAATTTTAGGGAGCTGAATCTTTACTACTTACGAGCGCTTTCTAGTTCTTAGTCACGACTTGGTGTTAACTACGCAAACACTATCTTAAGTCGTACCCTAGAACTACTGGTCTTACATTTCATTTCGAACGACGGTTAGATTTCAGATTTTAGACTAAAACATCTGTTGGAATAAGTAATTATTATTGATGAATTTTGTCTACACACGATTTCGTGACTCGTATTTGTCACCAATGTCTAGTTTTACAGGTTAGACATCGAAGAGTCATGCCACGCGAAGTCTCTAATTATTGGCTACGACAATCACGCGAACTCTAATAGTTACGGACTTTGAATGATGGCTTAAAATTTTTCAATGGTTCAGTTGTATCTACTATTTGTTTTCCCTTAGATGTTATGTTTCTGGATCTCATAATTTCCGATACTCCAACTTTTATTTTTTTTATAACGTGTTTTTGATCCTTAATCTGTTCTATTATTACTAACAGTATCACTGCCTCTACTACTCCAGGGTTCGCCCTGAAAATGCCATCACAATGCGTTACTGGAAGTGTAAATGTAGAAAATAAACAAACCAAATAAATTCGGAAAAAAATATATGGTAGAATAAATTTGAGGCTAAAGAATAAGTTCGTCTCCACTAATGCAATCGACTTTGAGTTTTTTCATTTCAGGTCAATGCGTCTAGATATGAAATTGTCAGCTAAGTCAGAAAGTTTCTTTAGACGTATTTTTGTGATGAAATAAGAGGAAATCGAGCAACCCAGATGAATATCACCTGTTATATGCACTTCATACAATAATCCTTTGTAAGCCGTGACTCAGCTAAGAGTATCGAGCGGAATTTTATTCAGTAGAGAAATGTACATACTTAACACCTCTTAGTGAAAAGGGACTCAATCATTGGATCCAAGTGCCACTCTCAGACAAAACGTCGAACATCACTATATATACTTTCATTCAAATGCTGATGAAAATGAGATATAATTGGAAAATTGCGGTTTGGAGTTCTAGAGACTCGAAAATTTGACTTCGAAATTCAGGTTATTACTGTTCGTAGTTTAAACTGTTTTGTGACTATTTTCAGTGTTTTGTATGATAGTAAGTTGAACTGCTGAACTGACATCTTATAAACGCTTAGGAATCATCACAGCGAACTGTAAAACGAAACAATGGGGATATTTTTCTGTCAAGTTATTCCACTCTTTTCTTTGTCAATATTATCATTATCCGATATTTATTCTATATCTTCACGACCGTCTATATTCAGTTTGATGGATCTGTTGACGCTTCTTTCAACAGTAACCTAGTTCTATAGGTAGAAAATGATAACTTATTCAAGTGGTTTTATGAGATCACCGTAAATTTACTAGTCCTTGGTAGTTAGTTCCAAAGAATTGAGATTAATAAGTTGACGTAAACATCACATGTCCTTATATCCCTAACCTGTTAGTCCAGCGATTTTAGTCACATTTCGTTTACTTTCATTCCAGCGATGTTGGAATTTACGACCGAATCGTCATTCAAGAGTTAATCAAAAGTATGGCATCAACAGCTCAGCTAGACAGTGGGCAACAGAAAGATTTCAAAGTAGTGGTTCTGCACGAAGCGGACCATTTAACACGTGACGCACAACATGCTTTGCGTAGAACTATGGAAAAGTACATATCCACTTGCCGTCTAATATTGTCAGCGGAATCTACCAGTAAGGTTAGTTCTGTCCTGTAGTTGTGATTGTATGCTCTCCCCATTCTATCCTTCGATTTTCAAATCGTTGTAAATAGGATTCGATTTGAGAAGTAGAGTGATCAACAAGAGTTAAGCAAATAAAACTAGTACATTATATTCGATTTTTTGTGGTATAATACAAGGTTAATGGTGTTGTATTATTGAAATCGGTTTCATAACATGGTGCTTCCTTATTCAGTGATATGCTTTAAGTTTATTATTTATTTATTTTAACGCATAGATATTGGTACAAAGAGGCACCAAAACATATGCGCCACACAAATCGCATTTGATATGTGTGAGGGCTGTGATACTGCCCGGGTGCCCAAACCGAAGCAGGTGGTTTTCTTATAGGGTCACTTCTCGAGCATTCGGCCTGAAAGACTGATCCACAAGGCAGTGGACCATCGTAAGGAGATGCAGTCCCATGGTAGCCAGTGGCCAACGGTTGGTTCATACGTCATTTGTTCCTTCAGGATACTGGAGCCCATGTGCACCATTGGTTTGAAATCAGGGTTTTCCAACTTCTGTAAGTGGATGCTCTGTGTCCATCAACCCGGTTAAAACGCCGGACATTCGCTTTTCGTCCTCTCAATTTCGTAAACAACAGTAATGCTGCGAGAAGGCGATAAGTAGGACTTCCCTGGCAGAGACTTTATACGTGTGCTCATGTGAGAGCATTTCGAGAGGGAGAGCGGACCTTCCCCACTCTCGGCTGTACCAGGGCATTTGGAGGCATGCTTTAAGTTAATAATTTAATAATTTCTTAGTTAGGTTGAGTAGTTAAGAGAAAATACCGAAATTCTCCGGTCACTAATCTAAAATAAATATGCTGGATCTACAGTTTAAACGGCTTGTTGTAGCAGCAAGTGGTTTTCTTCTTGACATTGAAAAATGATAACTAGATCAATACTATTTATAGTTAGTTAAGGATAGTAACCAATTTCGCCGTGGTTTGACTGTTTACTTAAAATTGTCTCATAGTTAAATGTGTTTGTTTATGTTTAGTCAGTTTAGTCAGTAAGGGTGAAATCTGACATAGTATCTTTACGTGAAGTGCTGTGTTTTGTAGATGAACCTTTTGCTTGAACTAGTGATACATTGATTGTATGATAGTGTTGATTCTTTGTTTATTCACTGTAATAAAGAGGTTAGGAGTAGTGCTTGTCATCAACATCGCTAATCCATTTTGCTGGGGCTCATGGTATAGTTTAACTTCTAATTTGGAATTTATTAGTTTATAGTTTCGTACTTGGAAAATTAATCATGTATGCAATTATTAAAGCCGAATAAGTAATGCTTTTCGTTGCTGCTTGCTTCATAGTGTCTATTATGTGGCAACTGTGTTTGTACAGTATATTCTTTACTAAGCAACATCACGTGGTTATTTATTTTTCAGATCATTTCTGCTACTCGTTCAAGATGTCTACCAATAAGAGTTTCTGCCCCATCTATCGATGAAATTGTTGAAATCTTGAAAAATACCGCTCGCCGAGAAGGCCATTCAATGCCGGTTGAACTAGCTAAGCGTATCGCGTTAGCATCCGAACGGAACCTACGTAGAGCTCTTTTGTATGCTGAGGTAGCTAGGTGGCAGCATTGCCCCATGCTTCCAGACCAAAGTGTGCAGTTACCTGACTGGCAAGTCTTTCTTACTGAGACAGCATCAGCTATTTTGGCGGAACAAAGTCCGAAGAAGTAAGTGCTGTATATATATACATAGGCCTTATTCAAATCAAGTTTGTGTCGCTGTCGGTTGCTGGCAATACACGGCTACATTATAAATCCGTTTCTTTATACCTTGATTTATGCTTAACCGTATTTCAATCTACTGATCTGTGTATTTCATATTATCCAATCAATGAAGTCGCATCGCGTTAGGAAACACCTTGTTTCCATAGTGCCATTTCATAAATTGATTGAATTTCCATTTCGTTCAACGATTACGAGCACTAACAAACTGCTTTACTTTGAGACCTTCCTATGTAGAAATTATCAACACCACAGAAGACTGGGTTATACGATGGATTTACTTACTGAACAATATCTCTTATTACATGTCAGCATGTCAGTAAAACTTATAAATGTGTATATTGTGTTTCCACTAAATCCAATCAGCATCACTGTTAATCAAAAGTATTTAGTTATGGTTAAAAGGGAGTCACAAGAGAACAATTCCCTCTTAAATAATTAGATCAAGATGCAACTGAAAACAAACTACAATTTTGTAACCTACAGACGTTTCCTATGAAACAAATCATTTTGATTTTTGAAAAGTACCTTTTTATTTGAAGTATTCACTCGTAATCCAAGTTCCGCTGGGAACTTGTTAAGCAGAGGTCAAACAATTGGAATCGTCAGAAGTGCCTGGTTCATGGACATTTTTCTTCACTTTTTAAACCTCTTTTATCCTTTTTGATTTATTGCAGCGAACTCAGAACTCAGTGTCTGTGTTTAAAATATAAAGTCTTAAAAAGTTAGAGTAGGTTGCATTTCAGAATTTAGAATAGATCCATCCCTAGTTTACTCATTGTCCGCAATCATTTGGAGTTGTTTAGAAAAATAATGTTGAGTGATATTTTTTAGATTAGCATTCTGTAGTAGCTTTGTACTGTTAGGAACAGTCAGAGAAACTTGGGAAATTGTTTTCGAGGGAATTAGTTTGTATATTTTTGTTGCTTATTTATCGGACAGCTGATCCATGGTGTTTTTATTTAGCTCTGGTTGTAAGTTATTCTTTGACTCCTCAGTTTTTTCCGTATCTTTTATTATTCAGAAATTATGCCTAATTAAGTAATGGCTGTGTTATTCAACTTTTTTCAAAGAATAGCTTAGTTACGTACACACTACGATTTGCTACACATGTCTTATGGTTTTACATTTTATACATATAATCATGTAAGTTTTTGAATTTGAATATTAAAATGTGTTCCAGGCATTTAGATGATCTTCTCAATAATCTGATTGGTGGATTGGGAACGAGTGAGCTTTGTACGGGACTGTCGACCGTTAACATATGCAACAACTATGTTAGTGGACTTAATGTTATTCGCGTGGGTGAAATCCCATTATTTAATAGTGTACATTACCTTATAAACTAGAGTTCTTGGCTGTGGCTGCCAGTGGTATAGTTACTCAGCGGATACAAAAACTTCAAGGAAAGCGTTATTGCAGCCAAACTGTACAATATATTTTACAACCGATGATCCTAAAGGAAGATAATGAAAGCAGTCTGCCTAAATCCGTCTCTATTTACACCAATCACCTCAACTGCTTCCTCAAAACTAGTTATTATCGTGACACATCTGATCAAACTAGACCTTTCTATTCAAATAAAACTTATGCAACCACACTGACTAGTTTGGTCATTGTAGCTTATGATTTTGTTTAACCTTTTGTTCAATGATTTCTAGTATTTTGGAAATTATCTGTTATCCCTCTTGTTGAATTACACTTGTTACCTCGTTTTTCTTTACATAACTTTGAATGATATTCGTCTAGTTTTTCGTACAGAACTATGATTAATATCCAACTTAAGGATAATTCATAACTGTTTCACTGGTTTATTTTTATAACAACTCATTTATTAAGTAATACATTTGAATAGTACATCAAACCTATTTATCTTTCATCTCCAATGAATTCCTTAATTCGTTCTTAATTATTTTCATAGATACTTCTGAATTTCTAATACTTTTAACCAACTCACCATCACTTGATTAGTACTAATGGATTAATGTTGAGCTGTGAGGAAAAGCTAATTGAGAAAGATATTTCTTTGTTCCGTCCATTGATTTTTAGTGTTTAGACGGTAGTTTTGATTATACTAAAATCCTACTACTTAGTGTGTAGATGATGAGTCATACATACCTCTGGGTTACTATTCTCTGTATCATATATTAATGGCTGAACTTTCTCAAATCTTTTTCTCTACAGAATACTAGAAGTCCGCAATCGTCTTTATGAATTATTATGTCATTGTATTCCGCCCAACATTATCATGAGAGTAAGTTTTTGTTAAGATTAAATGATTTATTCCTGAATTCGCTTATGGAATTAAACTTTCTTATGACCCAAGTATTTGAAAGTTAACCAAAACCAAAGATGACTCGTATTTTTGAAAGGGTTCTGGGACAAATCTTAAAATGCAAACATAACAACTTGATCCTACTATACCCACTATTGAAAAAAACATTGAAGCAAACGTCAAACTGGACATAACACCAGTTTTTTGAAGAATATCTGTATGGAAAATTTTAACTACTAATGTCTTTATGAGGATAGATATTTTTGTGGATCTGTTTGAGTCGGAAAATACTACAACGCTAAAATTACAAGTAGCATTAATGGCTACTGAAATTTATTTAAGTAGTAAAGTTTCAAAAGTAAACTTGTGTTGTGTTTGTCAAAATGAACTCGTATTGTTTGGGATTTTAATATGTCCTGTGGGAAGTGTAGTTTGAAGGGTGTTGTTTTAAAACGCCGTTATGATCAGATATGATGGAATTGACCAACGGTTATATGTATCAGGAAATATAAATACGAAGTTTATGAACTTGGGTAGTGGTGTTATAAGTTAGTAAATCTGGTAACTGGGTATCATTAACAGTAAAATAATAATATGTTCACTATGTAAAGAGTAAACTGAACCAGAACTTTTACATCACCCGAATTATCGATCTTCAATTAACGGTTTTCACTGTTGCACAAGCTTCTACAAAAATAGTTATTGTTCTGTCCACAAATAACTTCAATAGTTAAAACCTTTATGAATTTGTTTTATATGAAGGTCTGATTTTTTTTCTAAGAATGTCTCTTATTTATGAATTAATAGTTTACAGTGTACTTTTCCGAAGCACATTGTTCATGTGAGCTGCATTAATACTATTTAGTTGCATAAACCGGAGTGAGTGAAGTGGGTCTCGAACCTGCGATCACTTATTTGTTGAAATCCGAGTGTTCTAACCACAAAACCACATCTCACAATTAATTTTTGTATTTTGATACAGCATTTCCTTATGATCACATACACCTTGTTCAGTCATTTGACATGACAAAGATGAGCAATTTTTCTGGTATAACTGTTCTCTTTATCTCAGTTTTGATTACTGAAATATTCCGTCAAACTCAAGTCAGTATTTCTAGACACTTTCTATCAAACAGTTGAAGTTTTCTGATATTTTATCTGGGACTCAGACTTAACTTCCCTTATCTATTTAGTTAAACTCCGATAAATTTCATTTGAGATTAATATTCATGTTACTCATGTACATACTCAATATATCCAAGGTTATACGTAAATGAGGCTACTGGTATCAGCTTATTATTTTGACAAACTCGTATTTTACTTCGTTTCTGTAGTCATATGTTTAACCATGTAATGAGCTGTTGATAACACATTTTATATGAAACTAGCTATCCCAAAAGATTACGTTTGGAGACGGACACAGTGATTGTGGACCCGGAGTTTATCGATTGAATCGAATGGTTAAAGTTGTTATCCATTAATTGATGTTCTTAGAGATATTTTCCTACGAATCGCTCATTTAAGCTATTTTGTCAAATAAGTGGGTTATTTTGTTGTATTATATTCATATCTCGATTCATGTGTGCATCGGTGAGTAATGTGGTAGGCATATCAGTTAGTGAGCTGATAATTTTATTTTCCTGTGTCTCGTTAAGTCAGTATAATTAAAATCCTTGAAGTAAATTAATCTTTAGGCAATATTGTTTTTTTTTTCAAGAACGTAGGTTTTTGGTTAAGTATTATGATCATTTCATTTATACATGTTTATATGTTAATGACTTTCTAATCTGATTAGATCAAAAGTATTTTGGAGTAATCATAAAAATGAATGTGAGAAGTATGCTAAATAAAATAATGGAGATCTTGGTGATACTACTGATAATGATATCTAGTTTATTTCTTACGAATATTTTTAAGGTTTACATTCCTTTTCTTAAATTACTATTATTATTCATTGATGTCAAGGAAGATGAAAATGAGATTTTTCTGTACTACGTGTATGGGTAAGAAGTAATTTGGGAAAGAAACATATTAGGAATAAAAATGTTATATTAGAGCGGTTTGAACACTTAACTTCCAACTATCCGGTCGTTAGTTCGAAATGCGTTTTGCCCATGTTGGTTTCAGCAACTGAATAATACTTTCACTCAAAACAGTTTAGAACAATACACAATGGTAATCTTATTTTTTTAAAGTTAACTTCGTACGTTCGCTTCTATGAGAAAAAGGTACTTCATACATTTTTATTCTTTTATTTATTAGGGTCTGGTTGACAATCTATTAAATTCATGTGATCGTAATTTAAAACTGGAATTGGTTCAATTGGGTGCGGAATATGAACATCGATTGAATTTAGGCCAGAAACCGATTTTTCATTTGGAAGCCTTTGTAATTGCATTTATGGCTATCTACAAACGATATATAGAAGATGCTCTAGGCTCTGGGATGGAATGGTAGCATTAACATAAAACAAATATTAAATTCTCAAGATGTATTATGTATATTTATTACGAGTTATGTTGATAAATAAAAGTTTCTTTTGTAAATATTGTTTATTTAAATGACAGGTCGTTATTTTACATGGGTATTCCGGTTTGTATTGTTTATTCTTTTATTTGGGAATAGAGAGAATGACATGTATTTAGTCGCATTAAAGCTTAGCGGTAGAGGTGAGAACAAGTTCTTGTCATAGTTGTTAACTAATATTGTGCTTGTGCTGGTTGATTAATTGCATTATGACTATTCTAAATGTTATCAACGCATTAAGACAACGTTGCCTGCAAAATTTCATCGGTGATACAGTTAAGACGTTTTTTGATATCAGATGAACATAATCCTGTTTCTCGTTTATAATAATCCAGTGCGGAGGTTGTATTGCTATCAATGTAGATAGCGTGCTTCTGTACAAAGCATTAAAGATAATATTAAGAAGTGTTTGTCGAGTTATATTTCTAAAGAAATTATTTTATGATACAGTCTTATTTAATAGACTGAAGTTAGTCCTTATATCGAAAGATATAATCTCTGACCTGAAGTATTTATGATGTATTCATTCATTGATTGTGGTTGTGTTGTATGTGTATTTATTTTCATATTACAAAGTACATTTTTCAGGCTTATACTATTGCTGTTAGTACAATTTCTTTGACTATGAGAAAGTGTTTGACAGCGTGGATAGTAGAATCTTATGGAACTTTCTTCGACACTAGTGTACCTGAGAAGATTGCGAACATAATATGGAATTCTTGTGATGAACTACACTGCAAAGTCGTGAATGTAAGACAGCAGTACAGGTGCATTTCAAGTGATGGACAAGCCTTCTTACTCTCACCGTTCCTCTTTATTCTGGTGGTTGACTGGATTACGAAGACTTCCACAACTAAGAGGAAACTTGGAATGGAATGAACAGCTTGAATGAGTCTAGACGATTTTGACTTCGCAGATGACCTAACTCTTCTATCCCATAAACACTAACAAATGCATATTAAGACAACCAATGTAGCACCAGTAGGCCTCAACAACACAAGGGAGTAACCAAGATCTTCAAATACAACACAGAGAGCACCAAACTAATTACACTTGATTGAGGAGCTCTGGAGGAGGTGGGAAATCTCATATATCTGGACAACATCGATGAACGTGGAATATCTGATGCAGATGTAATGGCAAGGATTGGCAAAGCAAGGACAGCATTTCTACAACTGAAGAATATATGGAACTCAAAACAACTGTCAAACAACATCAAAGTCAGAATCTTCAATACGAACGTTAAGACAGTTAGTTCTACTGTACGTGGTTGAAACTTGAAGAACTACTACAACCATCATCAAAAATGTACAAGTATTTACAAACGATTGTCTGCGCAAGATAGTGAATGTCCGTTGGCCAGATACCATCAGCAACTCATCTAATATATCACTTTGACCGGTGGAATTTTTCATATATTTTTGGTTCCTATCTATAAAACGTTTGGTAATTATTATCTTAGATAAGAAAGTTGTAAGCTACTCGTCAAGAATTTTTATGGTTTACTTCAACAGTGTGCTTGTAATTTATCATTCAATCAACAAGTTTCAAATGTCAGTGATTGATATTGGTCATAGGTGTTCAAGCCTAACACTCGTATACATTTTGCCTCCCGGCTCGTGGTTAGCTGTAAATAGCTTTAAGTTTATAATTATTTATCAAACCAATAACTTTAGTCGTTGAATTTAAAGATTAAATTTAGGAAAGTAGGATTTGGCAACGAGTTTACAAAGTACTTTTATGTATAAGAGTATAGTTCCAACATTTCAATAAAATAACTAAGTGGGGATTACTTATAATGATAACAATAGGTTACATAAATGAGTGAAGTCTTTAAAAGAAGACAAAATAAGTTCACAAAACAATAATTAGTCATCAACAAATAATTATCACGCCATGGAGAGGTTACCCTATTTACCTGTCTTCGGTTTACACGTTTTTTGTGTCACAAGGTATTGATGACAAGGAACCATCGCAATAGAGACAAATTCGATAGTATCATTATTGTAAGAGCTATATGTACGTCGAGTTTTTGCATAATGTCATGTGTTTTCTAATATTTTCTATTTGACGTAAATGACTCAAATACACAGAAGCCTCTCTTTTTGATCTTTTTATACTTGAGTCCACCTTTTTATTTAAATTAAAAAACTCAACTGCAGGTGGGATTAAGCCTTGTGACTTATTTAACTTGGATTGTTTTAGTGGACAGATCATATTGTTTATTGAGATCAGTTTGTTTAAAATGATATTCCTTGAGAGTGCATCTTTAATATGTTAGCTAGTTTTCAGCGGAACCTTTCTATAAAAAATTTCCATTCGTATACCATCATTTCATGGGACTTAGAATCTGTCATTCGCGTTTGTGTAATTAATTATAATTATAAAACTTGTCCAGTGTAAATAAGTCCTGATCTGTTGCTCCTAATTGTCGATCATACTTTTGCGTAACTGTCCGGAATATAATTGTCAAGTAATTTTTACTAAGGATAATAAGCTAATGGTCATTCTAGGCAAGGTGGATGATAACTTAATTTCAAGAAGTATGACTTTGATAAATCTTCCGAAACATCCCTGAGACTTATGTACATGTATTTGTTGCAATGATAAAATAGTTTACTTCCTAATTATTCTCGCGGAGGGCACATGACTTGAAAGAACTACAAGCTTTCATTATTGGGACTAAAAGTGATGTCATATACCCCTGTTAACGTTGTATTATATTTACTTTTGTCATTCACAATCGAATTCTAACGGTATAGTAACTTGTTCAGTAATTCATTTTTTTCACAGTTTCGCTTAATGTTATTGTTATGACTACTAAGATGAACTTGAAACAAGAAAATCTTATATATGCACGATGCACAGACGAAGACAAATACTGATAGCAGATAAAGACTTCATACAATTATCAAAAAATCTAAAACAAATACTTAAAGATTGATCAAAGAATATCATGCATAACTGAAATAGTGGAAATACAATACACGGGGTTAATAAAAAGCAAGAATATATGTTATAATGAATAAATATCTGTTGGGATATTCAGAAAAAATTTCCCAAAAATTATTCTGTTAAGTCTAATGCTATCCTTGGACTTGAAATGGTGTTGTCTTCTTATTGGTCAATGTTTATTTCACGTGTCATTTTCCTACTGGTCAATATTGTACAATGTTATTTTCTATTTTATGGTACGATGTGGTCTGCTTGACTGGTATATAAACAGAGTATGTTTGAAATAAAATGATTCATATCTCAGAGGCTGAGACTTGTGTTCTGGACTCAACTGGCTGGGCTTGACAGGGAGCGGGACCAATCACAGCCCTAGGTCGTTCTTGCGTGTTTTCACGTCTTTGGTCCGATCGATAATTCGCTGTCCTCTAATCTGCAGCATCACAGTTATAGCAATATCACACTAAAGTAAAATGGACGTTAAACAAAACCTATTTCACACTGAATTAAGAAGTGATCTTGCATTTTTCACCTCCTAACTCTTTAAATGCTACATCATCATTTCGATGCTGTACACTAGATAACTTAGAAGCGAGATAGTGGATAAACAAGAAAATGAGTAGAAACAACTGAAATATACCAAATGGGAAGTTTTTCCTCTATTATTGTTTTCTATTTTTTTCCCTACTCATCAAACTAAATTTTTGTTTACGTGATTAAACACTTGTAAAGGATTTTCACCGTAAAACACTAACATAGATACATATACATACATCTAAGTATATCACAAAAGTTGATTACAATTTCATTACTATGTACGTTTCAATCATAGGGATGAACTAATTTCATCCTATTTATTTGTATTTCATTATTACGTTTATATAAATGCATATGTCTTGAAAATATGCGTGTTTCTAAGTCTAAGAAATTCATTAGGGTTTATTTTGATTTTATATTTGTCAATTTGTAGTTATTCTTAACAATTTGATTGTTTGCTTGTTCAACGCATACATACATACATACATACATACATACATACATACATATATTTGTTGTAGTATGACAAGACAAACCCAATGAATTCTTTTTTTTTTCTTTCAAGAAGATTACATATCCAGTAATCAAATAATAACAGAATGTCAGTTTTTTCTTTAATACTTATACTACTTATATACATTTGATTGCACAAGTAAGAGTTTTCTGGTTAAAGAAATACTTATTTCTTTCTGATTTATCATCTTCATCTTCCTTCTTTTTCGCTTCCATCATGATGATTATAGTGATGATGATGATGATGGTGATTGAGGTTAACTGACTTATATACTTTTTTTTCTACATTATTATTTCATTCAGATTATTTTTACTCTCCAAAAGATTTTCTCTCTTATTTTACTATCATGATTAAATTTGATTGAACATATTAAGATTTTTATTCAACTATGTATATATATATGTATATCACTAGAGACTTACCAACAATACTTTACATCCAGAATAAGAGAAAAGCAAAAAGAAAAATAAAGATATAGAGGTCCTTTTGATAATTTAATCAAGTGAAATTCTCTTTATTTATTTAATTTATTCAATTGTTCATTCATTTGCAGTAAATTAAGACTGAACTTAACAACAATAACAGAGGAAAAAACAACAACAACATTGAAGTGATAATAATAATAAGAAGAAAAAGATAGAATTGAAAAGAATTTGTGGACATATTTATTATCATGAATTGAGTTGATTGATACAAAGGCTTCTTTTTTTGTAAAATATTCAGACATCAATAAATAAATAAATAAACACTTTCGTTTAAAGAATGAAATAGACAATGAATGAATTATTCATAATGTAAACCAGATATGATTATGATTAAATCTTGATTTAATGAAGATCTTTTAAAGGGTATATCCTACATTAAATATTGTTTAATTAGAGATTATTATTTATTATATATTACTACTTCAATATTACAGCTTTTGTATTGTTCCCTTATTAATAATTGAATTAAATAATTAATTGTTTACAATTCAATATATTGAATAGTTTCATAATGAATTGAGATTTAAGT